TTGTCCCACATATACAAGTTTTTCTTCTTCACTAGATACTTCTTCATCAGAGATATTTTCAATTGTAAGATAATTTATATGTTTGTCTTTCTTGACATATTGGTTTTGTTACTAATATTGCTGGGAGGACATAGGTCTTTCAAATAAGCAATTATGGGCAATATGTTTTACTTGGCCACACTTGAAACAAGTTCTTGTATCTCTTTGTGATATGTATGCTAGTGGTGACCTAGATGTATCAGGCTTGTAATAGGCTTGCTTTTTCTTTCAACTTTGGCAGAAATATCTTCAATTTGGGCTACAAGCTTTAAATGTATCTTTTCAAACTTCTGGACAAGATCATTCATGGAATTTCAAGGAGTTTCTTTATTTTTGAATCCAAAAGTTTTTTCTGGTTTGCCTCTAATAGGTTGTTTATAGTTAATAAGTTCTTGATCATTTTTATATTGTTGAGCAAATTGTAATACTGCAGTAACATCTGCAAGCACATTCATAGCCACAAGAGAAGCAACTTTGGATCTTAGTCCTCTGAGAAAATGACGAAGTTTCTGGAGGTCTGACATGTTTTCTTCAAGGTCTACTCATTTAATAAGTTTCTTAAAATTTGTATAATAAGAATCCATAGATTCAGAAGGGCCTTGTTTTCTTTTTTCTAAGTCTTTAAGCCATTTGTTTTGCTATCGTTGAGTACAGAACTTGTCTTTAAATGCTTTTTCAAGATCTGCTGGTCTTAGGGATCTCTAGTATAATCAGTTCCATTGGTAGTAACATATTCAATCCACCAATCTTCAGCTTTATCCTAGAGGTGGGCAGCTAGCATTTGCATTTTCTTCATTTGTTCCCATGCATTTACTTGACTTGCTTTAGTAAAGGTGGAAAATCGGGTCAAAGAATCTTAAGTTCCATCTTTAAAGAATGGTTCTACTTGAAGGACTTGAGCATTGTTGTTGGTCTTTAAGTAATTAAACACATTTTGTATAGTTGCCATGATATTTAAGGTATTGGGTTCTTAAAATAATAAATTTAAATTTAAATCTTTGTTATTGAATAAATAATTAATAAGGGAATTGTCAGAAATAATATTGGGAGTATTTAAAATATATTCAGATGAATTAGAACTTGTATCTTCCAATAAATTGTTTTCAATTGGTTAGGTAGTAAAAGAAATATTAAGTGAAGAGAAGGATTCAATAATTTCTATATCTGCAGGGTTAAAAACGAAATTATAATAAATATTAAATGCTTGAAAAGTTTCTTCAGCAATTTTATCTAAGTGAACAGGTTCAGAGTATCTGATAGATAAGATTAATCATTCTACTGTACTAATATGAGGAAAGAGACTAACAGTTTGTTGAACAAAGTAACAATAGGTTCTAAATAAATATTGGATAGTAGAAAAAGGGATATAAAACCAATTCCAAAAGTGATTAAGAGAAATATTATAATTTTCGATAAGAGAAAAACAAACAATACAAGATTCATCTAGTTGTTTTTATTGAAGGGTTTTCTTAGTTAATTCTGGATTGTTTAAGTGTAATTGGTCATTTAAGTAGTTAATGCTTATAAACATTTGATAATTTATTATAAATCTTTTTACCACTAATATTCTCTTTGTTAGACTTTGGATTTCAAATTACAGGCTTCCTCTTGCTGTAAATATCTCCAATACTAAACAAAGTTTTCATACAGTCTTTTTTAAGATTTGTTTCTTTACTGTTTTCTTCAAGATGGAAGAGCAGTATTTCACAGTTACCACCAATTTGTCATATATTGTTTCTACCTCAGAAAAAAGATAAAGATAGAAAACTAATAGCAGGAAAACACTTTAGATAGACAGGGCCAATGTGGTGTGCTAAAGTTCCTAAAGCATACAAATTAATACAATTCTGAGGTGTATGAGGTCAGAAAAAAGAGACAATAGTGATTTGTTTTGTAGATGGCAAAATATTTATTTGATAAAATATAAGTTCAAGCCTGCCAATCCCTAGGCGAAATTGAAGCCTTTATATATATGTTTGAATTATATTATTTTCGTAAATGATAAATATATGCTATGGTAAAAATATAAACTAAGATATAGATACTATCTTCATCAGAATATTCTACTATAGTAGCATTTACATAGATAAATACTTTAGCGAAGATAATATAGAAAGTAAAGATAAAATAAAATAGAAATATTCTAGAAATGGTAAAGATGCAATAGATACAATAGATGCCGAAGGTGCAGTAACAGATCTGTAATACAAAACTATTCTAGAATAGCTAATATTTTAAGGATCAATGCTAATGAAAACCAGACAAGATGTATTGAAATCTTGGATGAAAATCAAGTGTAACAATATATAGATAAGAATAGATTCTTAAATTTTTTAACATATAAAATTTTGCAGATTAATTATATCTCTTCAAAAGAAACATAATTATTTATTCATTATTTCAATAGGGACATAATTATAAAACACTTGGATCAAGTAGTCTAAATTGCAAAAAACTTTTGTAAGTAATTATTTTTGATCTTATATTTAAAAAAAACTTTTTTAATAATAAAGAACATTTGAATTATGTTTTTGTATTTAATCTAGAAACCCATCTTTATATATAGGCAAGCCAATATTTAACTTGTTATATACTTTGTATTCAAGAGATATTGTTTTTTTCACAATATATTGTTATTATTATTTATGACAAGACTGTTGCTATCTTGAAATTACCACTTATGTAATAATAAAGGTACCGGTAAGCTTTTCTCTTCTTTGAGGCATATAACAATTTGACTGATAGTTATAATACTTTTCTTGATTGCTAAACTAGTACTTGATCCACATTGTGATTTTTTTTTTCAGCCTCTTAGGATTTTACATAATACATTAGTTTAATTTTGAAGTAGTAGATCAAAGGCACAAATAACAGTTTATTTTTTTATTAAGTGAATATTATCAATTGTAAAATTAGTTGATTTTTATTTTATTATTGGACTATTTTATTTCTATTTATATTACTATTGACATATACAATTATTTACTATCATATTATGCAAATCACCCTACACTCAAAAAGCTTCAGCATTTATTATTGATGCATGATAAATATATAATGTTACTGTATCACATTACACATATCCATTTTTTTCACAACAGTATATAACTTTATAAGTCTAATACTATAAATAAAGAAATGATGTTTATCTACTGGAAAAAAAAGACATATATTGATGAAATTAAATAAAATAAATAAAATAAATATAGTGAAAATAACTCAGATTTGAGAGATTTGTAATTATTATTACATCAATCTATGTGATGATACAAATCTTCTCTTACAATAATTTATTTTATAACATAATAATTTATGAGTTATAGCATTATACTTTTATAGCATGTTAGAGATAGTGATGGTGATAAAACAGGAGTAAGAAAGTATAAAAAAAATAGACAATAATAATAGGAACAATACAATATGAAAGTTTTTTAACATTCTTTTCTACAAATAAAAATAAATGTGAAATGATTGTCATGCAATACTAAAATGTTAATTAAAAATTACTATAAGTGGTGATGTGATAGACACACCTAAAAAGGAATTTACTTATTAACCTATCTTTCTAAGAGTAAAGTTATCACAAGAAAAACATTCTAGAAATCATCAAAGAGAACTGTGACTTAAATCATCCAGAGAAGATGACTTAAGAGAAAGGATAGAGTTAGTAATTGTTTTAAGATTGGCTAAGTCAAATCCACACCTCAAGTAAAAAAATGAACAACTTACCCTGACATACAAGTTTGACCCAGCACTAGCAACAGACTTGCCGATTTAACTTCAACAATATATTTTGTTATCTAGATTATAATTACTTAATATACAAAAGTATATATATTTAATAAAATAAAGGGTTTAATATGTAGTAATATTTAAGTTTAATAAAATTAGGATTTTTGAAAACCCGTGTATCTGATTTTCTTTTATCGAGTAAACTGGGACCCGGAAAAGCTACATACTTTCAATTAATGCTTCGTTAACATATATTAACTATATGTACACAGTTTTTTTTATTAAGAGTTGACCGTATCTTTCCTTTATTAATATGTATCTTGTGTTCAATATAAACTATCATCTTGTTGTTTGAGTGTCCAATGTACAGTACTTGCAACTTCGTAAGTGTGGCTGATAGAAAAACCTAGGTTATAATCTCTAGCAGAAAAATAAATATCACCAGAAAAAATTAGCAGAGAGAATGTTAGCAAGTGTCCAGAACCTGCCAGATCAAACTTGCTTCAACAATTAGAGATATTTGATGATAAGACTTCTAAATACGCTAATGATTAATCCGACCTAACCCCGATTTTTTATTCTATCAAATGAGTCATATCGGTTTAAACCCAAACCCGATCCTATTCTTACTACGGATAGCAGCAGTGTTGTATTTACTGTATGTTGTTATTTTTAAATAGTAGTTGCAATGGGGTTCATTAATTTCGGTTTGAATGACATGTCTGATCAAGACAAAATAAAAAAGTAGTTTGAGAATTCGTACGAGTTTAATTATAGTTATATTAAATTTTTTCGCGCAGCCTGTAAAAACGCGAAGCCATGTCGTGATCACATATTCTCGGCATGTAGCCATTTTCAACATTAATGTATCATAAAAAGGGATGTTTCAAACTGCTTTTGTCGCTGTATATTTATTTATAAAATATGTCATAATATTTAACAAAGAAAAACGCGACATGCAAACTCTTATTCCTATAAAAATTACTTTAACGGAAACAAAGAATTTCCATTCGTAACTCCTCGCAATTTATCACATAAAGGTTAATTATTTAAATTTGATAAATCGATTTCATTCATTATAAATGAGGTTCGAACGTCATTTTACTGAGTCGGTCTATTTTTTTGATATGGTGTGTACGTACAATTAATAGATAAATTCTAAAGTATTTAAAAAGTCGTAAAACAAGATACTTTCTTATTATCATTTCTCAACATCTATTCGAAATAAGATGGAAGAAACTATTATAAAAGGACGCCCAGTTATAATATTCCCAGGCTGTCAAAAGACGACGAAGAAAGGAAATGAACTTGGAAAGAAGAGATTATGTGGATTTTGTTATTTTGGAGAGTCTTTTCTGATAAAAAGTGGTAACCAGGATATTGATAATTTCCTAAGAAAATTTGCAGAATGGAAAAGGTATCCTTTCTTGGAATTTATACCGACAAGGAGTTAAGTTTTAAAAAAATTGGGCATGGAGGATTTAGGCAAGTTTTTAAGGTAACATGGAATAAAGGGCGCCTTCGCTTCTGGCATAAAAAAGATGAAAAATTTGCTCGATTTCCACCGAAAACAGTAGCATTAAAGGTTCTCAATGAATCTAGGAAATGAATTCGGACTTATTAAAAGAGGCATTTAACATCGGAGCTTTGCTTATAATAATCCATTTATTTACTAATATTTTGTAGCAACAATTCATAAATCGAATTAGCATACCGGCAAAATATAAAAGACGTTTTATTGATCCGTGTCTAAAAATTAGCCAGGGCCAGGGACGTTGATCGCCTAGGGTCAAGGAGAACCCGCGGACGGTGAATCGGACATCGAGAGCGAGAGCTATGGAAGAAGAATGGTAAGTAGGATTCAAGACGCCAAGGGATAATGCCGAGAGAACAAAGAAGCGCCGCGAACGTACCTAGACCACCCCACGACTATTTTTGTCACAAGTTATGCGAACTATGGCGATTTAAAGAAATATTTACAAACTAATTTTAGCATAATAACTTGACCGAATAAGAGAAAAAATTTGAAAAATATTGTGGAGGCTTTCAATTTAATGCAAATTTACACAGTGGCAATATATTACCAAATTCAACATTCCCGTTAATCGATGATCTAGAGTTTCCAATAAATGAAAAGTCGAGCATATACGGAGTCATACCTTATCTTACACCCAAAATATTAAAGCGTGTATTTCTTTCAGTTCAATACAATATTTATAGTCTAGGAATCATCATGTGGGAACTTATGTCTGGGGATCGACCGTTCCAGAATAGAGCATACGATGAAAATCTTATTGTAGACATATGCAATGGACTAAGGTCAGAGATTATCAAAGATACGCCCGAGTTCTGGGCAAGTTTAATGCGAAGGTGTTGCGATTCAGAACCTTCAGGTCGACCTGAAATAGAAGAAATCGTGAGAATAATGAAAGAATGGAAGAGCAATTATTATATAGTAACAATTTTTACGCTTATTTAAATCAAGCAAATTAAAATATCGTTATATCGTTAAATGCTATGGAGTTTCGCAGGATCCCGAAACGCAAAATTACATTTTTGTCATGCAATATGCAAATTACGGAAACTTGAAAAAACTCTTGGCAACTGAATTTTATGACAGAGTAAATTGGAGCCTTAAGAAAAAGGTTGTCCTCGCACTCTTGGGATCTATCAAAGAGATTCTGGATCTGCATAGTGGTGACACCCGTATGTAATACAGTAGAACAATGGGTGTCACGTACATTACATTATACTGTATCAGGAAAATGGTTTTAAAAAAGGTTTATTGACTTTCTTGGTTTGACATTCAGCCAAAATTAATATAGTCAAAAGAAGAATGTAAGAATTTTTGGTGACACATTCACTGTCGTCCCGTATGTAATAGAAACTTATTTTGAACAAAGCATTATACAGTAATGCATCTTTTCTGGGACACCAACTATAGTTATTACACCAGTGCAATGTAACACTTACTGTAATTCCTTTGTCTACTATCGTCCCTTATATAATAGAACCTTATTTTTGAACAACATTATGTAATGTGACACTTATATCGAAAAACGTTTTAAAAACAAGCTATTCAGCCCAAGTGCACGTACGTATGGCTGAAATAGAAAACTTTGTAAATGTATTGATTTTTAGTGACACATACAATATACTATTTTTTGTAAAAAAAAAAAAACTTATATAATTAATTATTGAGGCCAACCTTTTCCTCAAAAGTTAAAATGAATAAATTCTCCCCACATTACAAGAAGGGTATGACCTACTTAGAAAATGCTAGAATACAAAAATCTAATGGTCAACAGGTGGATGCGCTAGACACTTATCAAAAAGCAATTGATGAATTTAAGGATAAATTTATCCAATTTGGTGACGTAAAAAAACGCTTAACTGAAGCTTATGTAGAACGTGGTGATATTTACAAATGTTTAGGAAAAATGGATGATGCTAATATTTGCTATAAAGTAGCTCAAAATCATGACCCGAAGTATTGCGAAGCATTGGCCAAATCCTCAGTATCAACAAAACCCGTGCAAACAGAAAACATGCCTGCAGAAAATTCTTTTACAACGACGCCGACCTTTTTACCAAAACTAGAGTTTTTTATCCAGTATCCTCTAGTAAAATCAGAGTCACATCCGAAGATAAATGACATAAATGATATTCGAAGCACTCAGGATTTGGTCTATTATCTGCAACCTAATAATCATACCCAGGAACAAGCGTTACAACTAATAGAATTAGCCATAAAGATTATCGAACTATTCTCTAAGAAAAAAATCAAAACGGAAGAGATGATAAATGAAATCGTCATCTTAGCATCCATTCCACATAAAGAAATTTATGAAGAATTATTAGAATTAAGTATTGGGAAAATTAAAAAATCAACATTACAACATTCTAAACATTTGATTTGTTTAACTCAAGTAATTCAAAACATGCCCAACTTAATTGTCGGAAAAGTTAGTACCGGGAATTTAGTGGCAATATTAAAAATATTACATGATCGTCTAGATGAACTTCACAAACAAGACAATGAGGAAGAGCTCAGTGAATTATTGCAAACACTCTGTCCATTATTAGATGCCATGGTGCGGATAGGCGCCAATGGTATTAATCGTGAGAAGCTGCATGCGCCATTATATAAACAACTTAAAGAGTTAAAAGAAACCCCCGAAATTAGCTTATCATGCTCACTACGCCTGCCAGGCATTGTTGTACATTTCAAGGGATGAAAAATTATGGCAAGAAGTTATGCGTCGAACTTTTAAAATTGCTGGCGGAACTATTAGTTTGGTTAATGCGGTTAGAAGTTTAGACCCAAATAAATTACTGGATACCTTTAAAGATTTTAGTGAAGCATTTGAAGGTTTTGATGAGATTGTAAGTCGCATTCGAAAATTAGCCGACACGATACAAACAGTAAAAGGAGGGATAGAAGAAATTCGTCAAGGAATAGGATTTGAACAGACAAGACAGTGGTATTTGGCTTTAAGATTTATAGATATTTTTATTCATGAAAATCAGTTGAATAAACTCGAGCAGTTTGTTCGTCAGAGTTCTTATAATAAGAACGAATGGTTTTTAATCGGCCTATGTCAACGCTTAGGACAGCTTGCCTGCATGCAACAGGATTTGAAGATACAACAATGTGCGGTTGAATTTTTAGACGATCTTTATCAAAACGAAATCAAATGGGGACAACATCCAGGAGTTAAAAGTTATGCCAAAAAGATTATTAATGAAGTAACGTCTGGCAAAAATGCACCCAATTCTTCGACATACGGGAAGTCCAAATTGTTAATTGAGGCTCGTCTTAAACTATCACAGAATTTGGCGTCAAATGTCGCAGAACCGAAAAAAAAGGTTTGCTGCTCCTAGGTGAAGCTGGAGCGGGAAAATCTACTTTTAACTGTCACCTCGCTCAATCTTTGGAAAAATTATTCATCAAAAGACGAGTTAGATAATAAGTTTATCCCGTTATTTATATCACTTCCAACTATAGATAATCCTAATGAGAAAATAATTCAAAAATATTTAAATGAATTAAAATTTTCTAAGGAAATTATCGAAAACTTAAGACAAAACTGCAAATTCGTGTTTATATTAGATGGATATGATGAGATCAAGGATCGCCGTTCAAACTTTTATGATAAAAATAAACTTTATGAGTGGAAGAAAGCAAAAATCATTATTAGTTGTCGTCCGGAATATCTAAGCGAAGATTATAAATCCAAATTTACACCTCGTGAAAATTCTAATTCATTCCAAGAAATGTGACTATCACCTTTTTCTGGAGAGCAAATTCGAGAATATACCAGAAAGTACGTCGAGAAACAAAAGAACAAAATATGGGATGCGCAAAAATATGAAGACGTTTTAAGGAGTATTCCTGATTCAGATCAATTATT